GTCACGGCATTAGGAAGGTTGAGAACCGCTGCGCTAGGCTTTCTGACCACAGTTCTAGCACAAAGAGAAGGTTTGCACTAATAAACTGTTTTTATAGCCAAACTGGAATGACTCATTTTGACATACAAGCAGATCACAAACAAACAACAACAACAAAAAATGCTAAAAATCTTTAGCCTGAGGCAAAAAATGTAATAGGTCTGTAGTAATAACATAAAAAAAATAGGTTAGCATAACCAAATAATGCAAATAATAGCTCTGAAAATAATCAAGTTGTCATGGTTTAGAATGTGCTTCTCTTTTCACAATTAACTCATCCCTGAGCAAACATATGTTAGTTTGTTAGTGTATCAATTTCTTAAACATTAAGGTAAATGCCATCTTGTTTGGATTAGTAAAGGGAGGGGAAAAAAAAGCATTTCCTGAAAGCAATTCTATTTATTTGGGTCAGTAGAGTGGGATTGGGATCTACACTAGCAATGTCCTTTTGGTATTTTCTCTTCCACTTATAAACACATGAAAGCAACAATAATGAAAAGCTCTGGTCTTTCTGGACATTCAGTAGATATATCCATGCAAATAAATGTTTCCAGTAGATACTTACTGCTGTGTTTGCATCAATGGCATATTAGTGCTCTCATAATTGTCTGCGTTGAGAGGAGGTATGAGTTCCCCAGTTACAGGGTGAAACACAGGAAGCGTTGACAAGGGCCATGCTATCTCTCTATTCTTGGACATGTCACGAAGTTCTTTGGTAGATTTCTGAATAGCACTATGATGGACCAGTTGGATGCTAGGTCAGAAAGAAATAAAACAACATGTATTTAAAATCACATATTAGCCCCAATAAGTCGTCAATTTGAAAAAAATTTTGAAAAGTTTTTTAATTTTTAAAAGAAGAAGATATTTTTGCCCTTTTGACATTCTACAAGTTATCTCACAAAAAAGATACATTTCATATACTTTTAACATAGCAAAACTGAAAATTATAAACCAATTTTAAATAAATGTGTCTCTCATTAAACTAAGCTACAAAGCATTGTGTTAATATTACAGCCCTAAGTAACAAACTAGCATTCTATTTAATTTCTATGATTAAGATTAAACTACCAGAGCTTTTATATTGTTGCTTCTGATGGGGCATTTATAAATACTCACAGAAGTTTCATTTTATGGTAGGTTATTACTGTAGATTCAGGAAAACGTGTATGAAAGGTCTTTTCATCTGTTCTCTGGTTTATAGAAATGCAGATTGGGAAATCACATAATATAAATGGCAAGTTAATATTCTGAATCTGAAATATTTTAGGTTTAGTTTTTATCTGTATAATTTTAGTTTTCAAACCCTTTTTATTTTTAGTTCCTACCCCTCCTAAATATCTCTATTTAGAAAGCAGCTTTCACATTTATGAAATAAACTATGAAAGATGATGAATGAAAAAAAAGCATGACACACATGTATGAAGCATGATGAGCAACTGAGAAGTGAAAAAAAATGATAAAGAAAATAACAGGAAAGAAGACACTTACTCTGGTGTTTGCATGTTTCTCTTTTCCCTAGAAACAAAACAAAATTTATGAATTAAATAATAGCATTGATATTTGAAACATTAAGACTATATGCTCATGGGATCTTGCATGATGTGAAAATGCTGACATTGTTACTTTTAAATGCCACCAGGCAGCATTTGCCACCAGGTTTATGAGATTACTTGGATGAGTACACATACAAAAATGGAATATTGATGAGAAACATACAGAAAAATGAAAAAAAAATGGAGATTAAGAATCAAGCTCTTGGAAATAAATTCTATGACATAATGAAATCAGGCTACATGTAAAAATGAAAGAATTTGTTACTTGCTGCTTTATTTTTTTATCCTTGGTTTTGTTACCCTGTCTTCCAGATAACCTTGGGAGATTGTTTTAGTTGACACAGATGTCCTGAAAGTACTAACTATTAATGAAGACTCATTACTCAAGTTATACCCTTATTTTCATTACTTGACTCCTAAGTTTATACATATATATATTTTTTTTTTAAACATTTATGTTGTGTCACCCTGTTTGACAGCAGAACAATTTGAAGAGGATTCTGGCCATCACTTCTGATTAAACTGACAATTTTATTTAATTAAAGTGCAATTACCATGTCAATAGATTCCGAAGTCTCTGCTTACACCAGGTGGCTTCGTATAACCAAAATACCTAGCCTCAATTATTGCTGGAACTGTTTTTGCCAGCATGAATTTACATCTAGCCTTAATAATTTTTGAACAATGTAATTATATCCCCTAACTTGATTTGTTAGACTCAAAACTATTTTAATTCATTTTGAAAGAATAAAGTACAGTAGTTTGACTTGAACACAATTTCAATTCATTTATAAAGTGTTTTATGAACTAAATGAAACTTGGCTTTTAATGGAATCTTATATTTTGTTATCTTAATAGGCTCTGTAACTTTTTATTAGTGTTTTAAAGTACTCACACGCCTTCCCGTCGGCAGCACATGATATAAGCAAGTATTAGAAAAAGGACCAATGCTACTGCCGAGGGCACAGCCAGTGTAATTAGGAAATCCGTGTAATAGTCTCTGCTTTTCAAAGAATCGGAAGGGGGTTTGTACTCTCCACCATCAGGTAAAATCCCCTCTCCACGAATCACTTCCTGATAGGTGGACACTTGCTTTGTTTTATCAACCTGATACAAAAGAAGACAATTACACATCAAATTAATAGCTGCAAACATTATGAGATTTTAAGAGCTAGACATAGGAAAACATTCTTTGACAAATTTCTATAAATAAATTTTTTCCAATTACTTTATCACCTTGAACTTGCAATTATTTATAGAAGCTAGGAAGAAGTAATGAATAAAAGTAATAAATTGAAGGCTTTATGTTGGCCTACTTTCTATGCTCTTCTCACAAAATATATACATACACACATGTATATATACATAATAAATGTGTGTGTGTGTGTGTGTGTGTGAGTTGTTCTCTTCCACTTTGCTTTCTCCAAAGAAATCTTTCACACTACTATGTAAATTTCTTATTTCCTAGTGACAAACCTCTAGTGTAGATGTTAACAAACCATAAACTGACTGATAATCAGGTACATGAGTATGGTTTCCAAGGTTAGCAAAAGAAAAATAAATGAGAGAATTTTTCAATGATTACAACCTTGATCTTTCTGCCATCCAGTTGACAGAAATAGTTTTTAGAAAAGCTAGTCTAAGTAAGGAACATGTAACCCATCCAATGCTATAGTTTTATGAAATTCTATCCCAGGATTAAAAAACGCACATTTGTGCTACATTAATTTACCTCCAAATTAATTGAATTTCTTTCACTGTGTTGCATTTCATTATGCTAAGGGTTTTATTGAAGAACTACAAAAACAGCCATGTGAACTTTGTTACTGCATTTGCTCCTCCCCGAAAAAAAAGTTGGGGAGGATTATTTGTGGCATTTCTCAGTACCCTCTCCCAAAAAACTCCACTTGAAGAATTTTGTTAACAATACAGCACTACTAAAAACTTTATTTCCTGCCAAGGAATTGATACTCTGCCTCCTTTAAGAATGAGAATTAAATAACCGATCAATTTCTTCTTCTAATCATGGACATTAGAAATCTTGTTGTCAGGACTTGATCTTAGGCTTTTTCTGTAAAATTTAGGTCCTGATTTTCTGTTTCTTTTATATTTTATTTATTATGTTTATTCACTGATTCCTTCACATAAGTCTCCTGAAATCTTCTGTCGTAAGATGTAACATATACATAAATATGTGTGAGATAAAAAATGAAAATTCCCAATCTTTCTATTTATAAAGTCTTACCACAGAAACTAAAATCTTCAAAGCCTAAGTCATTTTTAAACACTTAGAAATCAGATAATACTCTTAAACATAAGCATTTTACAGCACAGCACAGGTAAAATGGCACCGTTAGGGCCCACCATCTACTAACTCTGGTTAGAGGCATCTATGTAAATTATGAGACAGGCACCCAGCTTTTTGTACCTTGTATGATTAGCACCATGACTGAAACACTGAGATTTGTAAATTCAACATTTATCTATAATACCTAAACCATGCCATCTTAATAATTTTACTTGATTTAAGAAGGCAAAGAAAGAACACTATTTTCCTAAGTGACATGAACAGAGGAGTCCAGGGCCAAAGACCACAGGTGCTAAGTGCTTCAACGTGAGTACGATGTTCTCCCATACTGGATCCAGGAAACCTGCCTGCAGTTGGTTCTCTAAGCCATGAAGTGACAGTTTGTTTATGTGTCAATACCTTTGTTCAAATCTCAACTTTAAACTTAGATCGATTTCAGTCACCACCGATCATCAAGAGTTGACAGAAGTTAAATCTAAAGGTCACTAAAGTAGTAAAACAACTTGCCCCTCTTCCAGAAAGCAGGATCAAACAATATAAGTTTTACATAAAACATTATATATATATATATATATATATATATATATATATATGTATGTATATATATATATACATACACATATATATATATATGTATATGTATATGTATAAAACCTGACCCATCTTCCTAAGTCTTTGAGCATGCTAATGAAAAAGTGGCTTAGAAAGAAATGTTCAGTATTTATGGGGCTGTGGGTAAGATTCTGGATTTCCCCACTTGGAGTTGTATCTTAGGCCTTGAACTTTCCTTACAATTTGAGTTTCTAGGACACTGAGTCATTGCACAATATTGCTTTACTTTCAGATCTATTACTGTACTCTGGTCTCTCCTTCCAAAGTGGGGTAGTGGCAGTATATTGGACTTTCTACACATGTCTAACTGACTCCATAATCTATCCTGGTTCAGCTGCCACCTGGGTGTCCAGGGTGAACACTTGGACCACCTGCCAAGCTAATCCAGCCCAGCAACTAATCAAGGGTAGACTGAGAACAAAAGTGGAGATACTCTTTCCTAAATGGACGTGCTGTCAATGAGCTTGCCAAGCCCTTCAAGTCAAGGAAAGTCAATTTCAATGACTAAAGTAAACCCAGGATTTGTTCCTAAAAGCAATTCAGATTTCAGCCAAATGCTAGCTCCAGTCACATCACTTCTAATTGCATTTGCAAAAACAAAATATAATTAAGACTCACCAGTGAAATTTTGCACCAGTCAATGTAAAATTGAGTACGGAACTTTTTATCACATGTTATTACAGGCTCCATTTCTTGACTGCATCTCAATTGATTCTGTGGATTTTCAACTTCTCGTAAACAAGATGAAAATGGGACATCTGCACCAACCATGACATAAACGCTGCAAAAATGTGAAACTCTCAGGTTATCCTTTAAGAAAATTGAAAACACTGAAAAACAATCTACCCTGAAAGCAGGATTTATCCTTTTGAATTGAGGGATTATCTAGAATCATCCCTAAGGTAGGGGCGTGGGCTTTTAAAGGCAGTGATTCATGTAGGGGCTTCCTTTCACTGTTTCCTTTTTCAACCAATATTTACTGAGTGCTTTGGTGCACAAAGCACTCTCTCAATTCTGTTAATTTCTAAAATTTTTTTTCATCCCACTTACTTTAACTCAAAACAATCATGTATCCTATTCTGATTACTATATCTGGTAGATTACTTGCATTTAAAAATTATTTTTAAAGTAAATTGCTTAAAAATAACACTATTTCACTAAAATACATAATTATTAATAATGTTGTAATTATTATATTACTACTAATATAATAATTATTTGCGATAAATCTTCATTTGAATTCATTTTAATAAGATTGTGAAATTACACCCCTGGAGGTATAAAGCTTTATAGGTAAACTTAACTATTTTACTAAGAGTTCTGTTTGTCAGTTTTCTACTACAGACCCTTATTGTTAGATCTCTCATTACAAGGTCTCTAAATCATTTATCTAAGAAGTTACTATAAGAAAAGGGTTGTGTTTGGTAAACACAACTAGGCAAACAAAATTTATTTTCTCGGGATGTATCTTAGCAATTGGGGGGAATAACTCTACCTAATTGGCCAATAGAGTTTCATAATAAAATAGAAGATAATGGTAATAGTATTTAAACAATTTTGGAGCAGCTTGAGAAGATAGAAAAAGCGTTTCAAAAGAAAAGAGAAAACCAGGAAATTTCTCTAAATTTAATATTACTTCTTTTCCTAATGACAATGGTATAGCTACTTATAAAATAAAATAAACCCATTAAAGTTCAGCTGTCTTCCTTTCAAAAATTGACACAAAGTGATCTTAAAATTTGTATGGAAATTCAAGGGACCCAAAATAGCATAAAACCTTGAAAAAGAAAATGTTGGAAGACTCACAATTACCAATTTCAAAACTTACTACAAAGCAATAGTAATGAAGACAATGTGGTACTAGCATAAGGATAGACATGAAGGAATAGAATTAAGAGCCCAGAAATAAACTCTTACATTTAGTAAATTGATTCTTGTCACAAGTGCCAAGACAAATCAATGGGGGAAAGAACAGTCTTTACAGCAAATGGTGCCAGGATAAACAGATATTTACAGACAAAGTATAAAGTTCTAACCCTACCTCACACCATATAAAACAGTAACTCAAAACTGATCAAATACTTAAATATAAGAGCCAAATCTATTAAAATCTGAGAAGAACACAGGCATAAATTTTCATGACCTTGGATTAGGCAATGGTTTCTTAGATATGACACCAACAGTTCTAGCAATAACTGAAAAAATATATATATAAACTGGACTTTCTCAAAATTAAATCTTTGTGCTTCAAAGGACACAATCAAGAAAATGAAAAGGAAATCCATGGAGTGGGAGAAAATATTTGCAAATCATATATTTAATAAGGGACTTGTATCTACAATAAAAATATATAAAGGACACTTGCAACTCAATAATAGAAAGGCAAATATTCCAACTTAAAATGGCAGAGGATATGAATAGACATTTCTCCAAGGAAGATACACAAATGACCAATAAGTGCATGAAAAAATACTCAATATCATCAGCCACCAGCAAAATAGAAATCAAAACTGCAGTGAGATACCACTTCACACCAATTATAATTTTAAAGAAAAACAAAACAACAACAACAACAAAAAAAGATAAAAGGAAGTCCTGTAGAGGATTTGAAGAAATTGGAACTCTCCTACTCTGCTGGTGGGAATGTAAAAGAGTGTAAACTGGTTTGGAAAACAGTCTGACAATGCCTTAAAAGGTTAAATACAGAGTTTCCATATGACCCAGCAAGTCTACTCCTTTAGTATATATCCTAAGAAAAGTGAAAATCTATGTCCATACAAAAACATGAATGTTTATGCCAACATTGTTTCTATCTAATAGTCAAAAAATGAAAACAATCCAAAAGCTCATCAACTGAATGGATAAAAGGATAAAATAGCCATACAATAGACTTAGCCATAAAAAGGAATAAAGTGCTGATAACACATGACACATCATGGATGAACCACACATTGTATTGATTCCAATCATATGGAATGTCCAGATTAGGCAAATTTATAGAGACACCAAGTAAATAGTGGTTGCCTGGGGCTGGAGAGGGTGGTGGTGGTAAGTGACGGCTAATGGATACAGGAGGGGACTGATGGGATGATGAAATGTTCTACAATTGATGGTGGTCATGATTGCACAACTTTGTGAATAAACTACAATCCACTGAGTTATATACTTTAAATAGGTGAATGGTACAGTATGTGAATTATAGCGTAATAAAGCTGTTATTTTTTAAAATGATATATAATAAAAGTGCAGCACAAAAATTCAAAGCTATGTCAATGTAAGTATGAAGTCATACCCTGAGTTGACAACTGTGCCCCAGAGTACAATTACACAAATTCATTTGGTTGCTCTTTATATGAAATTTATATTTGGACTTCAAATTCATTTGAAGGAACATTTAAAAAAACAAACAAAACTATGGTGCCCTCGAGAGACAAATAGTATATAATGGACTAAAATTAAAGATCAAATTAAAAATTCAGAACAAAATTAGATATAAAAAACCATTGGTAAAGTATTTAGATGATCAGTGAATATACATATATTCCATTTAAAACAAGTTGTTACTTTTAAGCTTCACATAAAGCCAATTTCTATACCCTTATTAACTGCCTAGCAAAGACCCTATTTTTCCTTGATAATTGTGAAATATACTTGTAAATGCAGAAATAAAATGAATATTTCTTACAACTGCTAACAGTACTCTTGCTTTAACATGATATTGATTTGCATTTATAATTAGTAAGATTTTAAATTAATTCAGTTCAAGATAAAAATGGGCATAAGCATAAGTTTTGAGTGCTTTGAAGGTTTTTTTTTTTTCAAATTATAAAACATTACGTGAAATTGGGACATAAAAGCAGAATTAAAGTTACCAAGATAACTATTTTCATTTTCCAATGTACCTTGCAGAACATTTTTCAAATGCATATATTTTAACCTAATTGCAATTATCTCTAAAATACAATTTTGTATCCTGCTTTTCACTTAATGCATTATAAGCATTTTCCATATTGTAAGTCTTTGCAATTATAGTTTTATGGCAATATAATTTTTTAAGCGCATATGATTTATTCAGCAATTATTTCAGAGTTGGACATGTAAGTTGCTTCCAATTTTTTGATGTTATAAATAATATCACAAAGACTATCTCTGCATATTCTTTAATGTTACTATCTTAGAAGAGATGTCTAGAAGTGGAAACATTTTTATGACAGTTGACACATACTGCCAAATGACTTTCATCTCTACTTGGATGATCCATAAGCTTCACAAACTTAATATGTTCCGAACTGAGCTCATCATCACCCCACCCCACCTCCACCTGTTCCTCCTTCTATCTTCTTCTCGCTCGGTGATTGGCATGGCCAGATGCTCAAGCACCATCGTCTTTGACGCCTGTTCTTCTTCCCACAGTCAATTCATCATCAGTCTCTGACATTTACCCTGAAAGAACTTTCATACACACCTGTCCACTTGGTTCCATCCCACTGCTACAACCCTAGTTCTAGTCACCATCACTTTTCCCAGGGAGTGAAGCAACAGACCCTTAATGGTTCTCCTTTAACCCAGTCTTTTTTACTGTCCTCACAGAGGCTATTTTCAGACTAAATAAATAAATATAAAGCATTACACCAGTTTAAAAACACAAGCAACTGTGTATCTGAAAACTGCTAAGAGAGTAGGTCTTAAAAGTTCTCATCACAAGAGCATAATGTGTAACTATGTGAGGAAATGGATGTTAACTAAACTTATTGTGGTGATCATTTTGCACTATATACATATTGCAATTATTATGTTATATACCTTAAACTTATACAATATTTTATGTCAATGATATTTCCATAAAACCAGGAAGATAAGTTAATAAATAAAATGCAAGCTGACTACATATGTAATGCTCAAGAGAATTAGATATTGGATTTGCCTTGTGGGTAAAAAAAAATGTGTATTTATTGTTCTTTTACAGAACCAATATACAGAACCAACATGTTGGTTTTCTAAAAAATAATTTTGTATGAGGCCATGCATATGAGGTCAGACAATTAAGTTCGCGAACTCAGCCTAGAAAAAGTGCCCATACCTCATTGCTGAATATCACTATGGTCACCTTCAAAGTACTTCCCTTGGGAAGCTATGCACTGATACCAGCACCTAGTCCACCCTTCAAAGCAATTTTGGAACTCTTTTTCTGGAATGGCCATCAAAACTGTCGTCATATTACCCTTGATGTCCTCAATGTCATCAAAATGTCTTCCTTTCAATATTTCCTTTATCTTTGGGTAAAGAAAGAAGTGACTGGGAGCCAGATCAGGTGAGTAGGGAGGGTGTTCCAATACAATTATTTGTTTACTGGCTAAGAACTCCCTCACAGACTGTGCCGTGTGAGGTGGTGCATTGTCGTGATGCAAGAGCCATGAATTGTTGGCGAAAAGTTCAGGTCGTTTAACTTTTTCACTCAGCCTTTTCAGCACTTCCCAATAGTAAACTTGGTTAACTGTTTGTCCATTTGGTACAAATTCATAATGAATAACCCCTCTGATATCTAAAAAAGATTAGTGACATCGGTGCAACAAGTCCGCGAACTTAATTGTCCAACCTCGTAACAATAACTGTGCTATATATGCTAAAATTACATTTTTTATAATCTGTTTTCCTTTAAGCTAGCTTTTTGATATGCAGAAATTAATATTTTTTATGAATGAAATGAGGATGACCTTTGCCTCTATGAACTTAGCCATATATGTTCAAACTTTCAAATATGTGTAAAGAGATGAGATGGCAGCATATTATCAAGAACTAAGGCCCTCAAGCAATGTTAAAACATGGTGCCTCAGAATCTTAGGAACTGGTATATACTAGATAGAACTTGCTTTTTATGAAGGCTTTTTTCTTTCAATTTGAACAGCTCAATTGCCCTTGAAGTAGAACACATTTACTGAGGTTTTTACACATACACTGTGAAGAACCAAGAAAGGGGTAAAAAATTTAAGTCAAACTTCTGCCTTTTTCAACAACAGTCGGATAAATGGATCTAATGATTGTTACTTTTAACCTAATTGTCCAAGTAATTAATGCACTTTATTCTTTACTTTGTATGTATAGGAGATAACACACAATATAGAGAAGTTTTCCACATGTTACTTGAGAACTCGAGCTCTTCAAAGAAAATTTACCATGATACCTGCCTCTATTCCCCATCCCTCTTCTTTGTTCTGCGCATACATTCAATCAATCAATCAAAAAATAAGATGAAAATTAAAGAATAAGTAAAACTAAATAAAAAATCTAATACAGAATAAAAATAAAATAAAGAATAAAAGGACACTTGTGGACGCTATCTAATCTTGCTGGTTGCTTCGTCTGCCTGTTGGAGAAAAAATGAATTATCAGAAGAACAAGGCCCACAGGCTTGGACCATTCTGGTTTTGGAGGTGGTTTCCTGCTTACAGAAAGGAGGCATTTGGGTTTGCCTATTCTTTCACGTAGTGAGCTTAGCAGGCCCACCTGCTAAAATGAAAACTTTAATATAAGCCATTTTCTGCAAAGGTCCCTTCAGGATAAAATCCAAACACTTTTTCCTGGTGCACGAGGCCTTACGTGGTCTGGGCTTTGTCTCCTTGGTAACAATCACTTCTGGATCCCTGTTTCCCCCATTTTCCCACACAAAGCAGGTTTCCAAATTTACCAGGCTTTCTCCTACATAAAGGCTTTTGTTCAACCTGTTCCCACTGCCTAGAATCCCCCTTACTCATTTTCTGAGCATGGGAATTTGTATTCATATTTTAAACTCAGATCCGGCTTCACCTCCTCTATGAACCGTTTCCGGGTAAGGACCTGACATGGGGATGATACCATATACCACACTGGGTTTTGTTTTGTTGTTGTTGTTTTAAATAATCTGCTTACATGCCTGGTCCCTAACAAACAGTGAGCATAGATTCTATTTCTAAAATCGCTGTACCCCAGAGGCTAATACACTATTCTCCCATAAAAATACTAATAAATGCTAAACTGTGAAAGAAAAAGATGAATATATGCATAGAACTTAGAAGAACAGATACTCGTCATCTAGTTGCATGGATTTCATTTATTTGCATACTTACAAAAATGGACTTACGTGGGTCTCCAATATTTATTAAAAAGTTTTTTTCAAAAATTCCTGTCATGTCACCATCATTCCAAAAAAGAAAGGATACATGCACCAAAAATATAGGAGGCACATTAATTAAGAATAAAGGACAATCTTGTAAATCATCAAGCATAGGGACAAATTCAGCAGAGACTATGGGCCAACCCAGGATCGTGACCTTGTACCACAGCAGCATTTGGCAGCCACTGACTTCCATTCTCTTTCTCAAGTGTAACTTCTCACTGAGGCCTTTGTGGGCCAAAAGCAGACAGTTAATTGGAGGGAGCACTTTGTGAGATTGTCTACAGAATAAACTACAATTCTCCATTGCTGACTGAGGCTAGATCCACATGCTTTGGGAACCAGAGGAAATCGTGGTAGGTTTGACAATCTCTTATGAAAAGTGAGTATATTCTTTAATCCTCACACCCCATCATTCCCTTCATAGCCACCATTTACACCACATCACTCACGCCGGGTTGGCAGCTATGCCATGCCTACAATGAAATATGAACCTGCACCTCTGTCCACCAGCTTTATCCCAGGCGAAATGCATCCGTGAGCCCTTAGCCTCTGGCTCCCGGTCAGGAGCAAAAGCAGCACTGAGACCAGACTCACAGAGATCACAGTTGCCCTGGGGTTATGGGTTTGGCAAGCGAAAGGGAATCTTTCCAGGAGGCTCAGCCTTCCTTTCCAGGAGTTTACTCACTTCGAAATAAATCTCTATAATTGTTGTTTGGTTAGATTTAGAAGTTTGAAAGCTGTCAGTGAGTTCTGCAGAGATGAAAAAGATATACATCAAGAAGAAGGAGGAACTGGGATCCGGAGTGGGTCCTTGACCATTAACATTTAATGGCACTTTGGGCTGCGGAAAGGCAGTAGGTTTACTCTGAGGGTCTGAGAGCTGCCCTTAGTCATGTGCTCTTTGCTGGACTGCATAGAGCAAAGATGGGAGAATGCAGTTGGTAGACTGTGGCTGCCATGAGGAATGGGAAATAACTTCATGGAGATTTTTTCATTAAATCAGAGACTGAGACTTATACAAAATATAAAGCAGAACACATTTGTTAGGTGCTTAATGAATATTTCTGAAGTGTTATGACCATATATTTAAGTAAAATTTTAGAAAAGAAAGGGATGCAATGTTTTTTGCTGTCTCTGATCGTCTACCACTTGGTCATTTCAAGATTTCATTTTTAAAAGGGATTTGCAGCCCATGTTATTTTCAAAAGAGAGCACAGAGGCAAAAAGTTTATTAAGTGAATTATGAATTACGATACACACCATTAAAAAGAAAGGAAGGCTCAAGACATGAGTTAATCACTGGATTTATTTCTAAATTTAAGCCAATAGGGTTGAAAAAAATTTTTTTTTGCTACCATGACATTATATAACAACTAAAGAAAAATATGCAAAAAAATCATTCTCAGGGCCAAATTTTCCTTCTGGAATTATACTCCAGGAGGACCTTATTTCATTGGGGCTGGGCTTGTATAGGGATATTGGAGTAACAGAGTTGGCATTGGGTACAATTTATAGAAATGCTATTTTGATAGACTTATCATAGGAATACTTTGCACAGGTTATGGCTTAACATTAAATTAAAACTCATGGGAAGCATTTCAAGTTGGGAAGGGATGTGAGACCACAGGGTCCAAATAAATGCCATGAGACTGCCTCTCTCAAATATCTGATAGCACATGCCGCCCTCCAGCAGGTGTTGGGGGTCAGTCAGTTAATGACTGAATTCTCTAACAAGTACTTGAAGGACAAAAATTCTGTTCTTAATTTAGAGTCACATGCTCAGGCCCAGCCCTCGACTCAAAGATTCAGAATCTCTTGGGGCTGGGGGTAGAATCAGAGGCCAGGAACCTATCTAATATTTTTAATAAAGCTCTATGGGCAATTCTTACGCTGGACACAGTTGGGATGCACTGTTTTAAGGTCAGAGTTTGGTTTAGAGAGTTATTTAGTTCAGTTTGGTTTAGTTGTTTCTAACAGTGCCACTGTGGGTGGGGCCTGCACGACTGAGGAGAGAAGGGGTGAGCCCAGAAGAAAGCACCACTATGGAAAACGGTACCAATGCCTGGTTTTCACGTTGCTCCCTCCAACATCTTTGTTCATGGTTTTAACAATCATTATGGAACACGTTACTTTAACAAAGTGTTGAAAAGACTCCATATTCGTAGAATGTTTTCAGGGGAGATACCTCTAGCCATCTCTTCCCATGCTTCCTCCTTAATTACTCAGAGAACCATGTTGGAATTCTGAAGTAAAAATTTAAGCCCTAGAATTATGTTTTCATATAGAAAGCCAACCAATAGATAGACAAGAAATAAAGCAACTATTTTACTCACAGCAATTCTTTGTCTGCTTTACTGACTTCAGAATCATTCCTGTAACACTCAAGGCACAATTCAATTCTGAAATTTGTAAGTGAGACTTTACAGATCACTGCTTATCCCTTAGCCCCCTTTTGCCTGGATATGTCTATTTCTTTTCTGTTTCTATGTCCATGTCTTTTCCCTTATTTCCTTAAATTTAATTCTTATTAAAGCCAGACACTTTAGTTCATTCCAGATATCATCTCTACAAAAATGTTATCAAGAATACAGAAAAAGGAGAAGTTGAGAAGGGACACACTGCACAAAATGTGATTCATTCCATATCTCATACGTTTATAGGATTGGGGGGAAAAAGACATAAGAAAAGATCTGCCTCAACCTACAGATTAGAAATTGAAGATCATAGTTTAGTTTGACATTGACATTGGACTCTTAAGAATTTACCCAGGCATAAAGAGTGTGTCTTAACCTTTACAAAGGTGTAAGTCATACTTTGTATTTGTAAGCTTGAGAACAGACAAACCCCTTTCAAATGCATTAATCGTTATAACAACCCTGGGGAAAAGTAAAATCCTCATTGGAGCAAAAGAGTAAGTTGAGGCACAGAGGAGTGCAGCATTTTGCCCAGTGTCACCCAGCTTGTGAGTGACAAGGCCAGGCTTTAGGAATCGGTTTCAAATCCACTCCAGTCATCCATCAGTCACCAACACATGGTGGAAAGAATGTTGAAGGCAAAGAAATAGTTTCCTAGAATAAAGTTACAGCAGTCTGCGTGTCCTCCTGCAGCTGAGAACGGGGGCATCAATTTCCTTTGAAATTCCAGGCCCTAAATAATCAGCTTCTCCACGGAAGGTACAAAAGACTTAGTGCTGTAATTTACGATTGCTGATCCTGATCTACAATTAGATTTCACAGGCCCGGGAACATCAGATATAAAGAACCATTCATATAACCTCTTTGTCAATACGGAAAATTACTAGTTTTTTCATATCTTTACAATACCCATGTCTTATTAAAAAGAAAAATGCAACAGGCCATCTTCCATCTATAGGAAGTCTGATAAGATCACCATATTTAAAACTCCATATTTAAAGTAAGGCGATAAAGGTCTGCTTACCCCTCCTTCATGTCATTAATGGGAAGCGGAACCCTGCCGCCCCTATCCAGGGCCGATGTGATGTTTATGGCGTTCAGACGCTCTGGCTGCCACACATTTTTCACGGCCCCCAGAAAGTCTCCAAGAACCTCGCTGGCCAACATTTCTTCTACATTCATATTTTTAATGAAGAATTCTGCTTGATATGGTAATGGGAAGTCTAATTTGGGTGAAAAAGGGTATGCACATATTTAATAAAGTAGTCTTTTGAAAGGGAAACAAAAGAACAATTCTAGATTTGTTGATTTCTGTCATAATCCCAGCCTTGCAAAAGGATATTCATACTGACTTTTCAGGCTTTCTGTGTAACAGAGGATGTTGCTAAAAACATGACATACATTTGACACAGAATTTTATCTACCAAGTAATCAAACCCAAGGGCACAGCAGGGCAATTTATAATTATAGGATTTGGCCAAAAAAGAAAAAAAAATGCCAAATAGGCCCCAACTTGCCAGTGACCTGCTGGCTTCCTACCCCTGCATCGCCCAGACAAAAACAGCGCTTCCAGAACACTACACGGTAGGAATCATATTCTGTATTTGTAGAGTTTTCAAACTAACAGATCTTTTTCAAATACATTGTCGCATTTAATCATTACACCCTTAGGTTGGATCTATTTCCATTTGAACTAAGGAGGAAGTTGAGGCACAGAGCCACCTCCTTTACAAACACAGAAGACATGACAAAATTATCTGTGCTTTCTTGTGGGTTGTTGATATGTGATTTAAAATCTATATTTTAATTTGCAGTACAGTCATGCGTTACTTAACAACAGGGATCTCTTCTAAGAAATGTGTCATTAAGCAATTCTGTCATTGCGTGAACATCACAGAGTGCACTTACACAAACCTAGGTGGTCTAGCCTACTACACACCTAGGCTCCGTGGTAGAGCCTATTGCTCCTAGGCAACAAGCCTGCACAGCATGCTACTGTACTGAGTACTGTAGGCAATTGTAAATAATGGTAAGTATTTGTGTATCTAAATATAGAAAAGATACAATAAAATACAGTATAAAAGATAAAAAATGGTCCACCTGTACAGGGCACTTACCATGCACAGAGCTTGCAGGACTGGGTGAGTCAGTGAGTGAGTGGGAAGTGAATGTGAAGGCCTCAGAAACCACTGTCCACTACTGCACACTTTATAAACGCTGTACACTAAGGCTACACTCAATTTATTTTAAAAAATAGTGTAGCATTGTACTATGATGTCACGACGGCTATAGAAAATTTTCAGCTCCATTATAATCCTATGGGACCACGTTGCACACGGGGTCCAAAATATTGTTATGCAGAGCATGGCTGTATTACTGACCTTTTGGGAGCATGTTTTAGCAAAACATTACCTTTTACTAAAATAAAGATTGATTATATTTTCAATGAGAATTCTGAAATTATAGCAATTTCACTATTTTGATCACTCTATAATTAAATATTCTAGAGACATATTTTAAATTTCTCATGTCACCCATCTCACACTGTTACAGATTTAATTAGCTTGTTCCCACCCCAATGTCTCATCAATATTTCCCTCCAAAGGTTTCAAAATTAATATTTTTAAATCAACCCAATGTCCAATTCAGACTCTCAATGTAAGAAACTCTAAACAAATAGAATTTATTTCAGTTTCTCAGATGTTACTCTTGAATTACAAATCATCAATTCCCATATTCTAATTGTTCGATTAAGATAAAGAATAGCTTTCTGTTTTGTTTTTTTTAATACTATGCCTTTAATAATAAAAGTTGCTTTTAAACCAAAAAATACTATGAGGCAGGCCAAGCTAAGGGATTGAGGTGAATTATCACACTTAACATTCACAACCAGTGGGTGAGTAGGAACTTGTGTTGTTCTCCATACTTCTGGAAGGGAAAGCGATCGTTAGCGAGGCCCAGGAATTTACCATCATTTGAACTTACATGATTTTCAGCTATGCTAACGGAGGCTGTATATAAAATGTTGGAGTGTCCAGCATAGAACTAAGCACTAAGAACTTATAAAATACTAAACTTTAGCAATTATTATAATAATATTGGGTTGTCGGAAAAGTCATGACGTATTTCTTCTATGTTTTTCGTTGCAAAAACGCATCATGACTTTCGTGACAACCCAATATATAGGTTGATTATCAGAATTCTTCCCTTAAAAGGAAAACAAAATGTTTCTGTACTCTACATAGATTTAAAGTCCCCAGTAGTAATTATACTATGTGTACGCTCTCATTTATTGTATTAAAATATGTATCTATAAAGTATTCCACTACTATTTAATAATTAAATACATTAAACCTGTATAATATATAACTGAAATCCTGATGACCTCATTTCTTATGAAGCCTCTTTAATACTAAAGGATATCTGATGCCAGAGGTGAAGTCAGGGAAGTCCAGCTGTACAGTTTTCACAGAGTTTTCTAGAGTGTGGTTTCTCTGCCTAAATCTTTGAGCTTTTCAAGGCCCTCATCATGGAAGATTCTTTACTCATCTCCTCCATTGTCATTTGCTCTTTTCATGGTTTTGTGATATTTGTTTGATGCATAGGACATATGCAATCTTCTAAAATGTGATATATTTATTCTCTTTTATGTAGACAAGCTTCCTGCTTTATACAGATAAACAGTAGTTTAATCATACTACATAGTCACCCTTACCAAGAAACAGTCACACAGAAATAGATCATGGAGAACAGTTTCTTGGCAATAAGTAATATTTATAAATAATGCCAAATAGTTTTTGAGTATGCTAGAAGTCTATCCTCTATTCATTTCGTTGTGTTTTTACACCCACTTTTCTACAGAAGTGTTCAAAACTTGTTTCCTATTATCAGAGCTTCTTTTTGGAGAACTGTTATTTGGCTTTTCCTAATCCATACGACCCAGTTTCGTAGCTCCTTCGCGAGACTGGCTGCTGCCACACCCCTCAGAGGCTCTGGGCTTGCAGCTGCCTGCTGTCTAACCAGCCAGGCATGGCTGCCAGGACTCCCAGAGATGAGTCATAGGAGCTTTCTAACTTTGGGGAAATCCCATGCCTGCTATATTTGGACATCACAGAGGCCAAGGGAACAGTAGGCCAACAGATTGGTGGCAGGCCTCTGAGGCACTAAACCCAATTTAGAGAATCACTCTGTGTACTCTCCTTGAGCTCCAGGCTGTGTGAGTCTACTGGACTAATTTCCCATTAGGCCTCTCAAAGCAGGAGACAGCTGGGCAAGGAGTCAGACTGAGCGTGATTATACTGGTATTCAACTCCTGTTATTTCTTTTCCTAGCCTTAGCTGGGAGAAATGGCATGTGTGTAGGTCCTGGTCAAAGATGTACATCCTAGTGCCCATATAAATCCCATCTAGACCAAAAAGGATAAATGCATGCCATTTGGTTCACTGGTTTTCATAGCTTGGGGCCACTGAGCCCTCTGAAAAAGGCAGTGGACAGCTCTGGCTGAAGTAAAAGAGGAGACTTCCAAAATGCATCTACTCTTCCCCACTCATCAACACACTTTCACAGCCCAATTCAGATAAATAGCCCCTAAAACCAACTTTCAATCCTAGTGGTCTTCCACTAGTATCTACTTGAACATGGATCCCACACGTCAATAACAGCTATTAAGATACCTGTGGACTCCGTATGCACAGGGCTGAGACCAGACTTCAGAAGGAGAAGGTTCAAACTGAAGATCAGGCTGTCTTTCAGTTTGTAGGGACTCCCTCTGAGAGCATAACGGTGAGGTTAGTGGTCTAAGCCCATTGCAGTGTAACTACTATATATCTATATTGGTGAATTCCCTAGGAGAAAGGGAACTTTGCAATTATTCTGCTCATTAAGGATATTCCAATTCTACAGGGACTGCTTACACAGGATGTAAGCATACAATTACAATTGGAGTCAAGTCTCCCCCATCCAAACATGAATACCTACCAAAAGCCTTTGGGAAGTGGAGAAATGGACAAGGAGGCTTCCAACCAGGCCCACAGAACTGGCACTTTGACTTGCTTTTTATATATGAAGGTCATTTTAAATTTTAAACTAACACAATCATTAGATATTGCTAAAAACACCCGGATAAAAGCTCATGTAAAGATGTTCGAAATCATCAAGCAATCTCCCCAATTATGTGTTGCATTATCAAGTCAACAGAATTGCTTTATTTTGTATAATGTAAAGGCAATTTTTAATTCAGCCTTTACTGAATTATCATGAATTCCAAATTAGCAGGTTCTGATAAAATGTTTTTTATGTGTGCTCATTTTTTTGTTTGTTTTTGTTTTTTTTAGCTGAGCCATCCTGCCACCTGTTGGCAGCTCAGCGGCAGCTCAGCTCGGGCCGGGAATCGAACTGCTGTTACTCAGAGCTCAAACTCTTGAGCAAGCTCTTAACCAACTGAGCCACTCAGCCGGTCCTTCATTCGTTTTTAATTAGACTACTATACAGAAGAATTCCCCTCTCTAATGTATACAATTGTTTTACTGTTTTCAGGGGGTGAAATACTATGTTCATTCTTCTCCTGTTATCCTCATAAATGCTATCTGGTAGAGAGGACTATGCATGCCTTACACATTTTAACTACAAAGTTTTTAATGGCATGTATTTTTCCCAGCCAAAATATTTGATAGCGTAATTCTTGGAATATTTCTTGTGTCCCTAACTTTCGAAATCCTTGGGAATCACTTACTATTTGAACATATGTAGCTCTAAATTGCTGATGGACTCCAGTAATTACTGATGTGTGGTTAGCTACTGAGTAGTCGGAAAAGTCATGACGCATTTTTGCAAGGAAACATAGAAAAAATACACCATGACTTTTCCAACAACCCAAAGTTTAGGAAGGAGACTGTGACCCAAATTAGTTTATTTCTGTCCATCAATAACTCTTTATCTTCACATACAATTGGACTACAACCTATGATAAGTTTTAAAGTAAAATAATGACGCTAGCTGATTTGATTATACACTCTGTGCTCAGCCCCATGTTACACACACTTCAAGCCTGACTCATGAAATCTGCATCCCAGGCTTAGGAGAGAATTGCTATTCTTAGTTCCAGTTTACAGATGATGAAACCAAGGCCTGGAGAAAAAAAGTGGCCTGGTTGGTTCTCTATCCTGAGCTTTTCAGCACCATAACACATCATGATATTTTATAATAAATTAGATACTGCTTAGTTTTCTTTTCTACGTTTTACTATTTCATTAGTTACATTAGGTATCCAGTACTTCAAAATCCTTAACTATATTTTACATGGATATAAAACATAATGAAATACTTCTTGTAAATAAGGACATGATCAGCAACATATTTTTTCACACCTACCTTCTGCTGACATTATATTAATTATCAAATTATGCCTTGCAGTCTCAAAGGTACGCCTATTGTAGGCAGTTATCTATTAGAAAAAGAAAACCATATTAAAGAAGTGAAATGTTATTCGGAAAATGAAATTCATTAAGAACAAAATGAAAACAAGGTCGTTCTTTCCATTTTCATTATTTGTTTATATACTTACAAAATATTCCTTCTCTGGGCAACAAGAACTCAGAGCTTTTAGCAATATTATTGGAAAATAAATAATTAGTCAGGTCTACTTAACATGCTAAAACAAAAATTTTAAATCAAAAAGACCCTTTTACAGAAGACCGTTAAGTGCTAATCGCAATGCAGATGCACCATTAGTAAATAAATGGAGTAACCATTATGAATTACTTACCAGTGCCGTTCTAAGATTTTTTAAAAACCCAATATTTTCTTATTTTTAGATGGAGCTTAAGGATTATACTGGAAAGTACCTTTTAAAACAAGCACATTGCTGTGCTGTTTGCGTTCAGTACTAAACTGCACTCCAACAGTCAGAAAAATGTCATGAATAACCCTTTGGAAATCATATCTCACTTACGATGGGAGTAAAGCAGTAAGGATCATGGTCTATAAAGTTTATGGCACATGCTCAAAAACACAAATCAATCCCTTTGTAGAGTGAAATATTAGTAAACATTTGCAGAGCCAATGAACTTACATCAAAGTCAACTCAAAAACAGCCACTGCAAACAACAAACAAAGCAAAGGCCAACAACAGGATTCTACTTCAAAAATCAAGGAATAATTAACTCTATAACAGATAGGAAATCATTCAGGCAGGTCTGCAGTACCTCAAATAAAACAAATGTGTACAGTCTCAGCATCCCAGCACTAGCCTTCTGGCAGTGACTGCAGTTGTAGTTGACACTGAGACAAAAGAGTGGGACAAAACTCACTCAGACTAAAAGAATATCTTGCTCATTTAAAAACGAATATCAAAGATTTTTATGGCATCACCTATAAGCTTTAAATGAGATAAATTACACTCATCAGAAATATTACTTGCAAAAACAGTAAAAATGAACATTTTGGAATAACTCCAAACCTTTAACAATATTTAAAAGTACATATTCTGAAAAGCGTATTATTCTACCATATTAAAAGAACTTCTCTCTCTACAATTTGTAAAATTTCTGTCAGATTTAATGACTTCCTTGCTACTATTTGTTGGGACATATGATTGATTAGGTTCACAATGAACACTAAAATTAAGACTAGTCATGAAAATAAACTAGAAACTATTGTTCACAAAGAAACAAGTGAAAAAATGCAAAAAACAGATTTCATTTGGGAATCTTCATGATTTTAAAAGTTTACCCTGCAATAAACTTAATCATATTCTCAATGGAAAAAAGTATCAATTCTCTATTGTTACAATATATCAAAGCTAATGCTCAGAAAGACAGACTAGACATTTTCAAATGAGTGCCAATACTTTTATGACTAGCCTTCCCATAATAATCACAAATTTCATTATTGTGAATTTCATAAATTCTAACAAGTTTTATTTTTGTTTTTTTTCAATCACAGGCTACCGAAGTGAGTAAAGAACATTTCATAAGACAGGAGGAAGAATTTTATTATCTGAATTTATATTTAATGTTTAATTTTAACAGCTATAACAGAATGCAGTCCTTTTATCATTTCTAATAAGATATTTAAATACTATATATCCTCAAATTTTACTGATCATGATGATGTGAATGAAGCCCTTCATAGCAGAGAGGTATGAGTGTGGTGCGTGTTTGATCCCCTATTTCTAGAAGAGTGGCTGATCTATGTTAGGTGTTTAATAAATATCTACTGAATAAATTAGTGGATTTATATAATTAGATATTAGTTTAAGATACTCAAAACTCTTTTGACTATTAATAGGATATTTAAAAATACTATAAATGTTACTACATATGGATGTAGAAATGAGTTGTTTACTACTTGTCTTAGATGAAAGATGTGCTAAATTTTCATCATTATAGTTTTAGTATATTATTTGATACATATTTGTAACATTATATCTTAGTTATAAGGCATTAAGAACATAATGAACCTCTGTGAATCCTCGCTCAACACATGTACTTTTCTGTCCTAGCCCCTTGCTTGTCTCCAACCAGAGATAGACATTTTGAATTTTGTATTTATCATCCCATTCATTTTAAATATAGTTTTATTATCAATGCATGTATGCTTAAAATATGTTTTAATTATTTTTAATTAAATACTATAGACAAAAATTAAATTTGCTTGTTTTTGAGCTATAAAAATGGTAAACTGTACATAGTCTTCTGAGACTTTAATTTTATTCAACATTATGTTTAAAACATTTATCCATGTGGCTGGGCAAGCTTAAGTTCATTGTTGCTATAAACATTCACTGAGTGACTACTCCACAATTTATCTAGTCTTTTGCTGATGGACTCTGTATGCATTTTCTTGCTGATGGACTTTTGAGTTACCACTGCTTTGAGGGTTTCCAGCGTTTTGCCATACAAACATTGCTCAATGAGCATGATTATACACGCCTCCAGGTGGACATTTGCAAGTGTTTCTGTTGAGTATGTCCTAGAAGTAGGTTGCTGGATTACAGGGTACAGTGATACTCAGCTGTGTGAAACAGTACTATTTTCCAAAGTGGTTATGCCAATTCCCACATCCACCCAAAATTAATTTTATTGTCTTAATTTGAATATTCCTCATTACTGATGAGAGTAAACTTCTTAATTGGCATTTATGTCTCCTCTTTAGTGAAATGTCTGTTCATGTCTTTTTCTTATTGAATTTAGTAGTCCTTTATGATATTTTAGATACTCCCCATTAGTCTGAAATATATATAAAATATCTTCTTCCAGTTTGTGAGTTGTCTTTTTTTAATGGTGTCTTTTGATGAACAGACATTCACAAGTTTAATATAGTAAAAATTTATGAATCTTTTCTCAATACTTAGATATTATTTAAAAATAGTTAGGTATTATTTAGGAAATCCTTCCCTACCAACAAACTCAGAAAGATAGTCTTCTACATTTTCATATAATAGCTTAAAATTTTGCTTTTCACCTTTATATCCTCAATCTAGACTTGAGTTTTATATTTCCTGTGAAGTAAAAATCTAATTTCATATTTGCCTATAGCTAACCAATTGTCTGAGTACCATTCAATAAATAGACATCTTTTCCCCCAATGGTCCATCTTTTCAGACATACCATTGTGCCTTATTTAGATGGATGTGATTTTGTTAATGCCTCCACGATTCTGATGTGCTGTTTCTTCTGCCTAAGATAGCCTTCCATCTATTTTGTGAAGTGAATTCCTATTTTCTCTCATAGAACTCTGCATCCAACAACACCTTCCTATTATAACAGTTATATCAGTGTTGGCTAAGTATGTTTCCATTCCAGTGCTTTAGCCTCTGAACTATAAGACATGACAGGCCTCACCACTTATTCATCTTCCTATCACCAGCACTATTATAATGATGAGTACTTGGTAGGGCTCATAAAAATATCTGCTTAATGACTGTATGTCAATGAACATGAAATTTGAAATTAAAATATGGAGCAAATAAGTTTGTATTTTTTTTCCTAAACAGAATTCATATTAAAGTAATCTATTTCTTTTAAATGTCTTTTATTTTTTTCACGAATTTAGACTGCCCTTTTTTTATAAAAGCTGAAATTAAAAACTGTAGATGAACACAATGGTATACTTCCCAATGTTATCTAGTGTGTTTCCATGCATAAAATGTCTGAAAACCATTGCCATATCATTTTAATTTCAACATTCGAAACTCAAATTGCAAAAACACAAAAATATAATTTTGCTCATTCTAAGTAAATTACCTCAATGATTGTTGGTTTCCCCACACTTTCAGCTGTTGGAGATCCATACAGGACTCCATCACTGTAAGGTGTCCTTTGGATATAGCGAAGCCATCCAGGTCGGTCTGGATAACCCATTAAATTTGTGTTAAATGTTATAGGATCATTACTAATCTCGCCTAGATAAGAAACACAGAATTAAGATATAAGTCAATTATTTTCACACATCTTGCTTTGGTAGTTTCAACCCAAATATTTCTGTCCAAAATTTTTTTTCTTACATTTGTAGCAAAGTAAATAAACACCAAAAACCCCACAAGTCCATGTGGGAATTCAGATTTGGGCCTCACGTAGAGGAAAAAATCCTTTTGGTTGTTTAGTTTGTCTAGAAACATGATGCAATACAGAAAGCAGATTCATACAACTTTGGGGAAAATTTTTTCTTTTTTTTTTTTTTTTTCCTCATTTGGTCACCTAGGAATTGGGAAGATCCGCCAATGAGACAACTGTCAGAAAAATCCCTTAATCATGTTGACATCTTCATTCTCCTGAGAGGTCTTTCTATCATGAAACTCAGGAAACTATCAAACTAATCTTAAGGGATATCTCAAAATTATCAAAGTATTATCAAAATAAAAACAATGTCATTTTAAAACAACGGAGGATGAGTTGAAAAAGATGTTACAAATCCAAAAGGACTGTAATAATAACACTTATTAATGATTAACAGTAGCAATAAGTGCATTTAGTAGCGTTGCCCAGCTCTGTTGTTATGTCTGGCATCTACAGGTATTATTTCACTGGATTTTCAACCATACCTATAAAAGTAATACTATTATTAGCCCTAATTTTATTGCTGGAATATGTAATTTTCCATGTTAAGTAACTTCGCTATGGTCATATTAAGTGGTGAAAAGAGATTTTCATTTTGGCTGGCTCCAGAAACTATGCTCTTAACTACTTGTTTTCTTCTCAAATATTGGAGCTGCTGCTCAAAAGGTTTAGCTATCTAGTTTTGCAAACACAGAATGCCCCATAAAGGAAGATTTTTAAAATAATTGATGAAAAGACTACCTTTTCTTCTTGAATGCTGGTAAGAACATTGTTAACTATATCTTATGAGTGTTTTCAGGTATGCTACTCATCACATAATCTACAAAAATAATAACTGTATTAATTCTAATGCTATAATTTTCAGAGAATTTTTTTTTACTTAAGAGTTATAATAATTTCTTTTCTCTTGCTAGTCTTTCTATATCTTCATAAATTTGATGGCATTTGTGACAATCCAACATAACATAATTTAAACCAATAGTGAATTAAATAAGACTTCATAATTGGTATTACTTTGAAGGAAAAATTAATCTTCACGGTATTATTATGAAGTTATATAAAATTATCTCACATTATAAAATCTTTTTCAAGGACTCTTCCTTAATACCATATTTCATTCTCTTCTACAACATTTGTATAGTTTTCAAAAAAATCAATGAACTATGTAAGACTCTAAGTCTTAATATAAAAAATCATAATTGTAGAGCTTTAATTATTTCTAAGCAAATAAAAGGTAGATCATTGTCAGAAGCAGAAAACTCAAGACTAGGAAACCAAAACTATTCTTTCTTTAAAATTCAAAAATAAATAATTTCCTTCTATAATTAAATTTCTAGTCTTAAAATGGGAAATATCCTACAACAACCAATTTATCACACATCCAGACCATTTCAAATCATGTTAACAATATTTTATCATATATCATCTAGATTATGCACATGGAATAAAAAAAAATTAGTAAAGTACTCCCTTTTTTGGCCACCAAGAACATACCAGGTTTGGGGTAAGGTGGAAATTCCCCCTTAAAAGATTCTCTTTCCAAAACATGAACAAAGAGGACACCAGCAGATGGGTATACATCCCGATCAGAGTGCACCTTCGAGAAAATAGTGTACACTAAAAACAGAGGAAAGATAAGAGACAGACAAATCATGAAATATGCTTTTGATAATTCGCTTACACTGTAAAGGGTTTCACTATGTAGAAATTTTGGGGAAAACTGAAGCAAGATGCAAGAAGATGTTGTTAAGAAGTTTGTTTTAAAGGGAAGCGATTTTAGGACAAAACATCAAACAACTTTTTTAACTTGGTATGTTTAGAGACTTTTCAAATACCATGTAAACAAAATTAGGCACATTTAATATTTTAAGTTGTTATTATACAACGAAGACACACGTATTATTTTTTGGTAATTTATTTTTATTGAAATTATTACAATGAAATACATCATGAGAACTGACCAACTACATAATTGCTACAATGTATTGTTTTCCCTATTTTTAAAGCAAAGTATAAAGCATAATTTTTAAATGGTCAAAATCTATGCTGTATTAACTGTTTGCTAGACAAAGCACATCAGAAGATATAATACCATCACTGTAGGTAAAGGCAATTTTCATACATACTTATAAAAATGCACTGGATATTTTTTCTGAGTATTATTTCTCATCTCTCTCCTAGAAATGATTTATTCCATTTTAACCTGATCTTGACATTTAATAATTCATGCAATATATTCTATTATGCTATACCCTAAATAAGCGATAACAATTACATAATAAAATTTAGTGCCAATAATTGCTTTAAGTGAAATGGGGCAGATTTCATGATTTACTGGTTACTTAAGATATACAATGTGAGTGCATTAAAATGGCCAAATTGGTTTGATTAGCTTCCACCTATTGTTTTTCCTCTGATATCATCATCTCTACCAACACATTACTGCCATTACCCTTGTCACCTCTACAACCTCTTTTGCGTTTTGTATCTTCCTGACTGGCTAGTGGCAGCAATTTTTAAACAGATAAACCCTATCAGGCCAGCTCTTGCTTAGTCACTGATGGATTTGTAAATGTTGTAATTAACCTTAAGAACCCAAGGCTGCTCACTCGGGGCTCACTAACTAAAAGCCCTGGGTGGCAAGAGCCACGACAGTCAATTTTTCAGCATAAAAATAGGAACTTCCACAAAACGTTTATCTGTGAAAACTTGTTCCTGCAGTTCTGTGGATGCCTGCCAAAAATGGAAACCTAAACTAAAATATTTGGCATGTAGCTTCATGTAGCCATAGTTTTACTACTAAAAACACTGCTTCAAAGGCTGTGTAACAGAGGGAAGGAAGCTGCAAGTTAGGTTTAAAGTAGGTCTGTAGGGAGACTCACGCTTTCCTGACTTGTTTTGTACATGTATTCTTAAGTAGTCATCCCAGGGCATTTCGAGTACCCAACTTCTTCTACCCAAGAATAACTGACTCACCGGTGGAAATGGTCCCATTCCACAAAACGAGTGTATATGAATCAGAAAAATCATGAGGATGCGAACTGGAGATGTTTCACCAGCTGGATTCCACAACATCTCCTGAACGCAAGGTGCTGTGGAGAACATGGAGATGCAGGAGAGCAGTCCCTGCCTTCCCTAAGCTCACCATCTGATTTGGGAGACCAACACCCACCTAACTAGGGATGACGCCAGAGAAAACAACTGCTCTGGCAATAACTGGAAAGATGGCGAGGAGCCACGGAGGCTGGAAAGAGCTGGAAAAGGTTTCTGTAAGGAGGAGAATTCCAAATGACTCGTGAAGTACTAGCAAGGTTCTAAAACTCAGAAATAGGGAATTCTGGCATTTTAGTGGTGAACATGTACACGATACAGTCATGGCATACTGCGGTGCCCTGTCAAGGACGGGAATTAAGCCGGCAATGCTAGGTCCTGGGGCATATTTCAGGTAGGGGGAGAAAAACCGGGGGGGGGAAAAGAGTCAAATTGTGGAGAGTTGTGAACTCCTGCTCAACATTTATTTCATTCTATATGCAAAGGGGTTTACATTCTAGTCCGCGGTTCTCAACCTGTGGGTCGAGACCCCTTTGGGGGTCAAACGACCCTTTCACAGGAGTCGCCTAAGACCATCGGAAAACAAAAAGATATTTACATGACGATTCATAACAGTAGCAGAATTACAGTTATAGAGTAGCAACGAAGATAATTTTATGGTTGGGGTCACCACAACATGAGGAACTGGATTAAGGGGTCGCGGCATTAGGAAGGTTGAGAACCGCTGGTCTAGATCATAACCCTACATCCAAAGCACAGGAATATTTTGAATAATCTAAAAGAATCTCTTTGGAGATTTATCTCATTTATTCTTCCTAGAGATTAAAAACACCTTGAAGTCCAGCATCAAATATCATTTACCTTCATTATTTTCTCCGCACATAAAAGGTATGTAGCATATTTCAATAATTTTACCAACGCCTAGTGAATGGATGAATACATTCTAATAGAAAGCACTGTGTAGGTAAACACAGGTCTCATGTTTGTGGACTAATTATATGATATTCAACTTCAATTTTAGTTTTGTAACTTGAATTAGTTCTCATAGGTGTGTAGCAGATGATGGATTACCTTCCTCCGTTTACATTATAAACTACTAACAGTCTCCCTTAGTTTTGGCTGCTATAGGTGGTAAAAGCTAGCTTACAAAGCAAAAAGGAAGGCTGTTCGTATTAAATAATATTGAAATGATTATATTTTCTATATAGCCATGGAGGACCTGAAGTGGAGCCATAAAAGGGTGCTTGCCACTGCCGATCGCCTCACTTCAAGGACTCGTATCGAACATCTATCGGTTTCTGCTTTCATAAAAAGCATTTCTGCAGTCTACGGAGCAAAACCACCACCTACCATGGCCCTCCTGGGTTTTAAGATGACACGCACATTTCTTTATTCATGTGTACTCCAGTGCCTTTCTGCAATATGCTGAACTGCATACCTGCTGGTCAGTTACCTTGGCAACTCCACAGTAAAGCCTGCTTCACTTTAAGTGTCTATAGTATGTCATTTACTTTGAGAAAAACATGATCCAGATGTATGACACATTCATCATCCAGAAATGGAAAATGACTTAGCCCCTAGGTTTTGTTTGTGAAAATAATACTTCCTTTCTGTAGCATCAGTTTAAATTATGGGCACCCACACAACATTCTAGTACTTTTTTTACCTTTCCCGTTTGTTAACTCGCAAAACAAATAGCTCTTTAACAGAAGCTATTGGGGCAGTAGTTATACCTTGTTTCCTATTGAAAACAACAAGTGACACAGAAAATTCGAAGTGATGGGCCCTTGTTCTAAACATGATCTATATAAATAATGCTGATAGGGTCTGCACCAACACCCACAGAGGCCATTACCAGCAGTTAACACATGTTGCACTCTCATATGTCTAGGTACTACTCACAAACAGTAAGCTGGAAACATATTGTTTTCCTTAAAAGCAGGTCTTGAAAATCAAATGTAAACACTCTTAGAATCCGCAGTACTAAAATGTAATAATCTCTGAAATAGACATGTGTACAGTGCCATGCTAATCAAGCTGAGGTCACAGGTTCTGGCCTCGCTGTGTATCACATGGCTTTGCAGTCGTCTCCAGCTGCAAATCTATTACCTCTGCAAACACATGCAACTGGATACAAATGAAACTGGAAACTACTGTATGGCTAAATCCGTGCAAATCCATCACCATTAATGGGAAAAACAATTAAACCGAAAGTCCAAATCACCGGGGGTCAAAAATATCATCTTCAAACAGCAAGGGTAGCTAGATTTGCAAGGATTTAAATCTGAAATCAGGTAGTCACAAATAATAGATTTTTTTTCTTAAAAGAAAAATCACATATGTGAGTTGAGAAGAGCAAAAGGATGGAGGGGAAAGTGGCCAGGGTAGTTATTTCACCCTCCCCAAATGTAGGTCCAATGTCCCTTGTGACCATGCTAGCAAAATATTTTCACAAAACTGGTCTCTATGTTTTCTTCATAAGATAAAGGAACCATTGACCATGTTAACAATGTATATTATGTTACAGCAGAGAGCGAAGAACCAAGTAACAGACAGTGATGGTAGGAAAAATAAAGCAGGATCTCATACTAGGCAAATAGCAGCCTGTCTTTTTTTTATTAATCGTCCATTTGACATTTTCTCCCTATGGGAGCAACATCATAATGAATATATGAAGGTGTGCTTACTTACAATCACTTACAAACAAAAGCAAATTTGGATGTGTTTAGTAAACATTAAATTTTGAAAGGCTTAGGTAGTGCATTGCTAATGAATCTTTAGCATATAGCTTCACAATTATCACAATGACTCTTTTTAAGGGCATTTAGGCACGTACACAGTTCCTTCTCTACAAAAAAGTCCAGAGAACAGTTACCGGCCCTTTTTCTGTTATCACCACAGTTCTATGGCTGTAAAGTATTTAGTAGTGTAAGACCCGGCAAGTCCCAGTTAGTTTAAATCTTAAAGCCATCTCTTGCCTGAAATCTTTGAGAAGAAAGTCATAAAGTAATGTTCCTAGGTTTCTATTATGTGTATATCTCTCTCATAAATTCTTTATCAACAAATTAATCACTTTACAAGGTCCACTCATATCATTTTCTAATTTTTATGGTTTAAGAGATGATGGCAAAATCGCAGTTTACGAGGAGCCCAGGAAGGAAACATTTCAGAGAGCCGAGTTCTGTACAGCACTTGGCGGTCGATCTTTTTTCATGATGGTAGATCATCATTTGGCACATCAATTACTGCACTCTGATCTATTATGCAGTGACGCCCTTATGGACTGTTTAGTTGCCTTGTCATTTACTGATCATACTAGCGCTAGCAGGTCCCGGTCTGCTAATGTTTTTTAAGTCTGTGTGTTTTATAGATTTTCTGTTTTCTCATCTGAGGACAAGTTGTCAGCTGTCATTTCTCAGTGCCATCAGTATGTTTCCCATATCAGCTTCTCTGGCCCTTCTAATTTGCCACTATTAATCTGCTGCGGGTTTAGAAACCAGACTACCAAATGAGATGGGACTGCGTGTTCAAGTAGGAACAAACCTGTACTGTCTTAACACACGGTC